TCTCTCTCTCGCTCTCTCTCTGTCTATCTTATGGTCACTAGTCTCTATGATGAAGGAGCCAAATGAAGTTTGGACAGCGGTGACTACGTCTTGGCTTCAGAATCAGAATCATGTCCTGGTTCTTGGACGACCACGCCCTCGACCACGCCTTCGGGACTCGCCAGCAGCGGCACGGCCCCGGCCCCGGCCACGGCTTGCGCCCTTTGCTTTCGCTGGCACCGCTGGCACCGCAGGCCTGCCCTGTCCTGCTGCTGCAGCATCAAGCTCCTCATCGGTTTTTGGTCTCTCTTCTGGCCCATGCTGAATCTTGCCAGCTTCCAAAACTTCTGCCATAGGCGCTGCAGCCAGACTGACGAAATGATTGATGTGCCCTCTTTGTCTGTCGTAGTGCCGGGCTGCATTACACCAGCCCCGCAGGCTGCGGAGGCAAGCATCTTTGTCCTCATCGCTGTTAGAACGGAGTGCCACATATTTTTTGCAAAACGTAACACCGCTTTTCCGGTGGAAGGGGCAGCTTGCCTGATAGCCGCCGAATGGCCTTGTGGGTCCCAGCTGCTTCGGTGTGATCCTGAATGGGCCCCAGAACGACACTCTGTCCAGGACATCATCGGCATCTTCAAGGGCTGTTGCTGCTGCACCTGGTGCTGCCGCTGCCGCTGCGGCAGCTGCAGGCCTGCTGTCTGCTTCCGGAGCACCCGATGACAAATCGTCATCTGCACGGACCTTTGGCTCTGGTTGAAGTTGAAGCAGCGATTCAAGCGGGGCATCCTCATCTACTGACAAAACTCCACCGGATGGTTCTGCACCCATTCCCAGCATCTCGGCAACCTCGTCAGCTGCAATCATTGCATCGAGTGCTCCTATCAATGAATCACCAGGTGAATGTGGAGAAGCTGGTGCGGCTGGAGCCTCGTTGTCTTCCCAGTTCCAGGCCTCCAGCACACGCTCGACATCGTCCTCGACGTCAAACCCTACATCATCTGGCAAATCGACACCTCTGTCGGGGAAAAATCCATATATAAATACAAGACAATACCACCCCCCGGAGACACAAATCCCTTGTGATCAGGACGTCACTCATTCTTACAAACAACACGCTGTGTTACGACATGGTGCACTCCGTACCCTGCTATCAGTCATACGAAACTAAACCATTAGCCAAATTACGAAACCGCAGAGTTCCGTACCCCACTATCTATCATAGAACCACTAAGCCTACAGCACCAAATGTGGTAAAAGTGCTCAGTGCCCACATCCCCAGCTCTTGGATCACGCCTGCTCGTTCAGCGACTGAACGCTTTCTCCTTTTCACAGCCTTGGCAGAACCATCTTCGATTGCATCGTCCGGCTCCAAAGCAGGAGCATCTTCCAAACAAGCTGAAGGCGGCTGTTCTCCTTTCAGAAGTCGCGGATAAACTTGCTTCGGATTGCGGGTCCAGTGAGGAATGCACTGGATGCCCTTGTCGAAGAGTTCGTCGGCATACAAGAGGCAAAGCAAGTACTGCTTATTAATGACATGGGACATGCTGAACCACTCTCGTGGGCTGTCGGGTGTGTGCCGTAAGGCCACTCTGGCAGCCCTCCCGGTTGGAAGTGGCTTCCACTGCCATCCTGAACTTTCGAGGGCAAGCAACAACTCCATGGCATCATAGTCTGCCAAGGCATCGCTGCTGATACGGCACACAGGCAGCGGGTTGGTCAACACACAGACAGTCTGAACACTGGCCATGCCGACATCTGTCAGCCTGGCCAGCGACCCTTCGGCCGCCATCCGATTTGGAACCTGTTGTAAAAGGCCACGCTGCTGCAACTGATTCCCGACGTCCTGTAGACGTTCAGGAACCTCCACGTAAGGCTCCCCAGGAATGCCTTTGGCTTCAAGCAATGCTGTGACAAGCTGAGTCACGGAGCTGCGGGACGAGTCGGGGCCAGGCATGCTGTAGCAACAACTCGAGATATCCCAGGTTTGCAAGCCCTCACGCAACGTCTGCAAAGAGCATGCTTCGAGACGCTGGAGCACTTGAGGTGCACCAGCTGAACCGAAATTTGCACTTACTTCACCGGGGCCCTCATCGAAGACCTCGTGCAGTGTGACAACTGCAGCACCTGCAGCGAACATAGGCTTGTTGGCGACGGGGAACGGAGCTGACTTCATCATTGATGGCGAACCGTGCAACAGACGGAACACCACAGGTCGCCCTAGCCGCCCTGTGTCATCACCATGCTCAAGGTCGATGTCACACTCCAGGACATCTCTCTGCACTTCTTGTCCTCTAGATGACATGCCTGCCTCCAGCGCGGTGAGCTCGTAAGTCTCAGCCTCGGCACCACCTTCTGCAATGGGTGGCAGGCTGTAAAACTGGCTCGCATCAGCATGACCTCTGAAATGGTCACAAATTAAGCGCTTCAAGATATCATCAAAGGTGCGAGGCACAGGCAGCCCCAGTGTCCGGCGCACATGCTTTGCCTCCGTCTTGTCCAGTTCACGCTTCTTGTTGTGCACAGCTCTCGCTGAGTCCAGATTCATGAACTGCGTGCCGAGATCACAGCGGTGAATGGCATGTTGCAGAGTTCTCAGCCAGTGTGTTGTTCTCACTCGTTTCTGATACAACAACTCCAGAAACTGTGGATGCTGCAACACCCCTAGCCTGGCTGACGCGATCCGGATCTGGCGAGCATCTTCAAAGCACTTGCACAATTCTGACATGACAGCTGGGTCTTCAGCCATTTCCTCAATTTCTCTCAGACGGACAGAAAGTGAGATTTTCGTCGGACCCAAGGCCACATGTTTGGACGCCACCTTGACATTGCGATGCAAGCCTTCTACAACCCGTTCAACCACGGCGATGAACCTGAAAGGAGCACTTGCCGCAGCAAGCTCCGGAGTCATGGCCTCGCCTGAAGCAAAGCTCTCTATATCCCGCCTCAGCGCTGTTCCAGGTTGCAAGAACTCCACTGACAAAACGTGATGGTGCTCAAGCTTCATCCTGGGATTCGCTTGCATGTCATCATACTGGGCCATGCAAGCCTTGGCTGCTGCGCGGGCCTGCGACGGCCAATGGTGTGCCAGCCCGGCCAAGTGCCATGGCAACCGGTCCCAAAAACTGAACTTTGCAGACAAAGAGAAACGAAGGTAGGAACGGCCGTACTCGAAGTCGGTGTTGAGGACGTTTCGCTCCTCGTTCGTGAGCTGCTGGTCATGGCCCTGAAGTACAAAGGCATCCAGCTGGGACAGAAGCTCCTTTAGAGCACCACAGGCGAGCTCAGGTGCGCGCTTGCCTTTGCAAGGGCACTCCGCAATGCACTTTGCCAGCTTCTTCCGCTGACCTTTACGCAGCTTCTTGACGTCTTGCAGCAGGTGCTGGTGGCATGTGCAGCACTCGAGCCAGCTTTCGAGGTTTGCAATCAGACGATGCAAGGTGTGGATCATGTAAATGTAGCTGCAGAAAAGGTTGCTGTTCAAAGCAGCTGTTACGCCCGGGGCCACGCTGGTTTGTGTGTCTCCGGCTTCCAGGAACTTCGTCTCATTCCAGGCCTGCTGGAGTGGGGTGAACCTGGGTGCCCTTTTGAATCTCCAAAAAAAAAAATCCAGTAATTACAAATGACTAATGATGCTTAAGGAATGCTCAGGAACACTGGAAGAAGTTTCGACAGACAGGTGATGACCACCTGCCACCGCTTTGTGTACAGCTTTTCGAGCCCAAGGCTTGCAAACTGCTCCTCGTACTCAGCTGCCGGGGTGCCGCGCACGCATGTCACGATGAATCTCTCGCGGTACATTCGGTCTTCGAGAAGGTGTACAATGTGCTGAAGATGGGTCCAAAAATCACTCCACCACTCCAGCTTCAAATGCAGGTCAGAAACCACGTTATGCGTCACGTGCAGTCCTCCGGCGATTATGAGACATCGTGGAAGCAGCGGGTGCGTTGACGGCGCCGAGTCTGGCGCTGGCTCTGGATCATCCGACTCCGCGGGCGCCGCTTCTCTCGGAGCGCCTGAAAGACTTTCAGCATCCACGTCGTCTACGTCGTTGTCCGACTTGGCATGGAGCCACCCTGGAAGCAGCTGCTCGAAGTGCAATGTTTCGAAACTTGGCAACAATACCTCAGTCCCAAGGTCAGACGTCCAGCTGAAGATGGTGTTCAGCCGAAGCCGCAAGGACGACCTGCAAGGGGACTCCATCGCAAGAGAATGCAGGATGGCAGCCGTTTTATCTTGTATCTTCCCTTTGCCAGATCCCAAGGCTACGGGAACGTTGGTATGAGTACACAGCACATCGCTCAACACCTTCGTCATCTTTGCCTGCATCTCAAGGTCCACCTCCAAGGCCTCGAAATGATCGGACCAGTCAGGCCTCGTCCTGCAGAGGTAATTTGCTGCGGCACATGCCTCCGCGATTTTGCCTCTCGGGCAGGCGGTCATCATAGACATGAGCCAGTCTCTGCCACTTTGCGGCGAGCTATCGGCCCACATGAATGTAACATGTTCAGACTCGCCCCATTTCTTCTGGCAATACAAAAGGTAAGCGATGTCCAAGTAAGTGCTTGCTCGAGCCAGGGTGGTCTTGCTGGGCAACCGCCCGCTGCTAGCCAGGGATCGCAAGTCCAACCCAGGAACCCCTACTTGCAAGGCCAGTTTGAAAGCCTTGGAAACTTTCGCCGCGCTGCCAAGTGTGAATCGAAAGAAAACGCAGTTTATCAAGAGCCTGCTGGGATGACGATGGCCACGGCTGCTGCGGGACTGCCAATCCATTTGAGCTTCCAGTGCATCTAGCCACGACACAGTATCCCCGAGCTCCATTTGCAGGAAGCTTCTTTCGTCATCGTCAGGAGTGGATTCTAGCACCGGCACTGCCCAAGCACGCAATCGCTGAGCATGTTTCGACACAACTGCAGGCGTCAACATGTTTGACCAACCCTGGTCCTGTTGATCAACCTCAAGCTCAGGTTTGCTCCGCTCTGCATGTGGAAAACCAGGAAACAGTGCAAACGGGAAGCGCCAATGGCCAAGCATGCCGATCGATGACCACTTGCCGCAGAGCAGCAAAGATGCGATGGGTTCAACCACCGGAACCGTCAAAGATCCCGGATCAAGTTCTAAATTCCAGGATGACACTATGTCCCCTGCGGTTACAGGGTCTCCTTCTCCATTGACATGACCTTGCAAGGCCAAGACCTCATGCACTGACAGGCTGTTTGCGATGAAAGGGCTCAAGATCTGCTTCCTGCCGGACAACGCCACGATGTTTCCTGCTTGGAAATTCCCGACCCAAAACAACCCATCCCTGCAACCGGAAACTAATCCAAAGCCTAGCCCCCTTGGGTCCTTGAGGTTGCGTCTCCAAACATGTAAAAATTGGCAGCGGCTGGTGTAATACAAAAGTTTCTTCCACCTCAATTGTGAAGAGATTGCTGGCACCCCTCCAATAATGGTTCCAAACCGCAAACTCATCCCTGTGACCGCACTGCAACAGGATATCCTGCTTGCTCATCCCCCGTTTAACTCGTGCCAGGCCAGTGATGACAAAGCTTGGGGCACCAACCGGAACGGATAGAAGGTGCTGAAGATTATGATCTTTCACCTTTGCCATGAAATCTGGGGCCTCTGGAAAAGCGCATCTCAGCTTCTTCTGATTGTATTCCAAGCGCTGAATATGATTTCGCACTGAGCAAAAATAAACGACTGCACTCATGGCGTAAAGAGCAAGCGGATCTGCCCAACTTACGAAGGAACTAATCGTAGCTGCGGCTTTCAGGGTTCGCTGCAAGGAATACAGGTAAGGACTATATTAAATATTAAGGGCCACAATGCTTGGTTGGGTTCTTGACGCTCAGTCATTAGGGTTTCAACAGCTTTGGCGATGGATCAACACCCCAGAATTTCAGTAATGCCACAAATGCCCAACATCAACAAAACCCATAGCCAATAACCAACGTCCGGCACCTTGATGGAGTGGCTTCTTGAAGGCACATTCGGCAAGCCCGCGTTGGTTTGCAGTTCAGTGATGTTTAGGGTTTTAATTGAGGGCATTGGGGTTGTGGTTTTGCAAGAATGTCTGATACTCTGCAAAACGGGTTTGTTCGATTTAGTTGAGTTGAGGGCATCGGGGTTGTGGTTTTCCAATGATGTCGGGTTAACCTACACCCGGGACCCTAAACCTCAATCTTGAAATTCACTCCAAACCCTAAAACCTCAAAACTCTTTCTCAACCCTGAGCCCTAAACCCCCTAAGCACCTAAAACCCTCAGAATCCCTACACCTAAAAATACCTGATAATGTGCGTCCCTTAGTGATTAGATCGGGTTTTGGCCCACCCGTCACCCTATTCTGCCATGGTTTTAATAAGCAACTCCATAAAATAGTTTAGGTCATTATGAAAAAAATATCGTGTTGGCGCCCATTTTACAGTTCCAATATGAAACCCCCACAAGGCCTAAACACCAGCAAGAGCCTTCGACACGGCTCAGAGGGTCTCAATCAAGGATCTATGCACAACATGTAAAGTTTTTGGACAAAAGTCAGTTTGACCAGGTTCTGAGATTTGTGACCTGACAATGCCTGTTTCAAGTATGTACCGTGGTAGTAGACCTGTTGTACCATGGCATAGAACGTATTGAGGAAGGACTGCTCCACATCTGTCTGCGCTCGACGAGCAATCTTGCTAGCCTGTTAGGAAAGTCCGCGTTGCTGGACACCGCAGTGCAAGTTCCGAAGTTCCGCCAGTACTTCGATCTTCTTCATCCCTGTAACGGCCTCTCTCGAGGATCCAGGTCCACTCCCGTGAGTCTGGGGAGTGCTCTTGCGCTTTCTTCATTCGGTGCCTTTTCTGTCGAGCCGAGACACATTCCGCCCAGCACTGGCTGTGGTCTCGTCTTCTGTCTGAACTCCCCAATTGTGACTGCATTCTTCCGATGAGGTGATTGACGCCATTCCGCACCAAGACTTGTCGGACCTTCTCAGCCAAGACAGCTCGCAAGACCGAGCCAGCTGCGAAGAAGCAAGCTTCTCACAGTCCCGCCTGGCGGTGGCCCAAGGGCGCAAGCAACCTTAAGGTTTCAGACCACGGCGACCCTCTCTCTTATGTAGCGGTGTTCGGCCCACAATCGATCGTC